CTTTCTTGATGTCAAGTTTAATTTAGTTGAAGAAGTCACATTTATCTTCTTCTAGGCTCAATAATGGTCCCTAACTCAAAAGATAATAATAATGCTGCAAAATAAAGAATTAACTTTTAATCATGCTTACAACAACACTTTATGAGGCATTTAACCATCACGTTTAAGCGTAGATTTACCAACGTAAATCATACAATCATAAATTTCGTATCACTGAAGTCTACCTGTGGGTAAAGACTTCAGCATAGCACAAATTCATGTTCTCTAATTGGTGAAACTAGAACGCATTTAGATTTCTAATACCTGTGGGCTACTTAGGAATCATAAGGCCGTTTCTATCCCACCCTAATTAAATATGTAATTATAATTATCTACCTGCGGGCAAAGATTAACCATAACTACATATTTAATTATCATTATATGATGATTTGTCTATTAAGACAAATACATGTACATGTAAGGATGCTGTGGCTACTCCTCAACTCCACATTTGCATCACAAAGACATCAAATCATTGTGTGTATTGATTGTGCATTTAACCAAAATTGATATTTTAAATCCACATGTGATTAAATATGCATATAACATGTGAATAAGGATGCTGTGGCTACTCCTTGAACAAATATATATGCTAATCACTAATGTCATATATGTACAATTAAATTCCATATACACACACAATATCAATGAGCATTCCAACTACATAATTTAATCAACTAAACCATTTATGTGATCAAATTATAATTACTCATTGATTATAGTTGATATTTTAAAATCTGTATGTGATTATCTATCCATGCACTATGTAAGAGGATGCTGTGGCTACTCCTTATCAACCTTGCATGCTAATCACAATTATTAACTATGTGCATTTAAATCTCATATATGCACAGCATAATGGAGAACTTGACCAATTAATTTAAGCAACATAAGCAACTAAATAACTAAAATTAAATTCTCCCACTATTTTATGCACCCAAAAATTGTTTAATAAATCAAATTCAGCATATTTCAAATCAAATATAATTTTGCAAAACTCAAACAAATATATGATTGCCTAAAACAAATGTTTAAACAATTAAATAGCGGACAAAAAGAATTTTGCAAAATTTCACAGTATGTTAAAATAGCTAAATTGATTTCTCTTTTATTTAAACAATTTAAATGGTGCATGAAATAGATTATAGATAAACCTTATGGCTAAATAAATAAAAACCAATTTAAATAATGCTTTATTTAGCCAAAAACTGTTTCTGGAAATAAAACAAAATTGGCTCATATAACAAAATACAAAATAGAGCCCAAAGCCAAAATTCCAGAAAAATAAAAAATGTTCAGGCCCAAAAAGAGTCCCAAATAATAAATCAGAGAACTCATACAACATCTATTTAGCTCAAATGATTTCTGAAAAATTACACAAACCATCCCAAACAACAATAATCTCACAAAGGCAAAAATTGATTTTTCTGGGTTCAGACATACATAAAAGGCCTAGATATATTTCTGGATATGAACCAAAAGAGTGAAAAAAATTGGAACCAGAAACAAAATAAACTGATTGAGGCCCATGTTCCAATTTTCCAAAAACTAAAACAATTTTTCAACAGCCAACTTCTGAAATCAGACAAATAGTACTAAAACTTTTGAGAAATTGGAAATAATTTTCACGGTCCACTTTGGCTCTGAAATAAAATCAAAATGACCCAGAATGTCATATGGGCGTGAAACATTAAAGGCCTATAGGGAAATAACATGTTAAAACCAGAAAATAAAATTCGAAGGCAGAAACTTGAACCACAATGTCCTTGCGAAATCCTTCCTTTTTTTTTTTTGTGTGTGTGTGTATTAAATATGCCCAAAACCGAATGGCCCATAAAATGTGGAAAATATGAAAACAGAAGCTGTCATGGGATAGGCCCAAAACACTGCCCAATTTTGTAAAATGGCTTCGAGTAACAAACAAGCTATTCTACAAAAAACATACAGAGTCCCCAACAAAATAAAGAACAATTCAGATGCCTACTTTTTGGTGAGCCCAAACCATGTGCAGCCCAACAACTGAATAGTGAAACTGGACGTTTCCCTTTGCCGCCTATTTTCCACCTTCAGTCGGATCCCTAACCAACCCGCCAGCAATTTCAACCCGAATATATACAGACATATCTGCCGCCGTCTCTAATTGCAGGCAACCTTTGCCGGCGATTTTAACGCCGTTTCTCTCGTTTTCACGGCAAGATGATCAGAACTCAATGGCCAGCAATTTATGATAGCAATATCATCAAGAGCAAGCCCATGATCAAATTGAATTTGATAAAAACATGCGAAAAAAAAACACCAAATAAAATTTTGATTTCAAACCAAAACATCACAGTGGTACCATCGGCAATTTTATTCTCCAAAACGGCAAAGTCCATGTGGGCAATAATCACATGTAAAGGATACGAAAACTCAAATCGCATATATCAATATATAGATTTTGATGCAAAACCAAGCTAACGTTTCGGATCCTTTAAATTTCAATGAAAAGGCAAACCAAATTGAAGGCGGTCATCAAGGAAACAATATATATAATTTTCTTTGGTCCATTCACCCAAAAGCTCGACCATATATAGAGATCCGAGAAAAACAAAGACGGTTGAAACAAGCACATATGACGCTCATAGAAGTTTTTCTCAAAATAATTTTCAAATAGAAAATTAATATACATTCATAATGTATCATTTACAAAAATAGCAGGCAGAGGGAGATCTAAAAACCAGGCTCTGATGCCACATGTTAGAACAATTCACATGAACACATATATTTATCCAAATAGTCATATAGAATTCTACAATCATCAGAGTAGCAGCGGAAGACTTATAAATACCTCTCGCCATGCTAGATAGTCTGAAGAAGCAATCCACAATGCTTCTGGCCTTGATCTGGATTAGAATAACTGAAATTATTCAGATGTTGTTAGTAGAAAAGATATCAGGATCTCTTCTGACTGGGAGGTGGGCAGAGTGATGGAATAAGAAAGAGCCGCCACCAGTCAGGGAACCTCAAGAGCCATGTATTAGGTTTTCACAGATGCTCACTCAGTTAACCGTCAAAAACTTAACCCACCATCAAGGTCAAGAATGACTAAAAAGCATCGAGTCTAGAACCCTACCTGGACTGGGCCTAACTGACTAACGGGCCATACTTTGGATATTTTAATTAAAACAAAATAATATAATATAATATAAAATATATAATTAAAATATCTTACAAAGTATTGTTTGTAATTAAATATGTTACTTCTATAAACTAACACGCATTTATTATAAATAAATAATTTTTAAATTTTTTCAGTATCTATAAATTAATTATTCAAATATATTTATCCCTTAATGGAGTATATTATTTATTCTTCATACCGTACCATATGTATTTTCCCTTTTATGCTTCCGTCGAGAATCTTCAAGCCGGCCTGCTCCTGTTGATGATTTAGTCAATTCATTATTATTACCACTCCCATTCTCAATATAACACCTATGTAACTAATTTAATTATATTAATAAGATTAGACAGGTTTAATTAATTATAAGAAATACTACCTCTGATATTTGATATAAGACTTCATTTGAGTTTTATTTTAGTCATAAATATAAGACGCAAATCTACTTTTGTGTCTCACATTTATGCTTTTTTCCCCCTTAATAATAGTAATTTTAGCCAACACACTTGATTAGTAAGAATATTTTAGGAAAGACAATATTTATTTATTACAAATAACTAACAAACTTATTTCATTAATCTCTTCAAATTAGTCAACTAACTCTTATAATCAGGACCGGAGGTAATATGACATATTTTTTCTAAAACACCATGATTATCTTTCTTAATATCCTCCCTCCCTTGCTTGCCTAATTATGATTGAGGGAGTATCCTTGGTAATAATTTAGAAAAAAAAACTAATAAATATGAGAAATAGTTCTTATATTTAAGATTAAAATTAACTTAACAATTATGTCATATATTAAGGACTAGAGGAGTAATATAAAATTAAAAATACTCTTCCCATCCTAAATTTAAGATCAATCTGATTTATCTTTTCTTTAACTTAGACTCTATGTGAAGTTAAATTGAATAATGTGTCTTGATCATTGATAGTTATGTGTAAATATAGCCTTGGCCTCATAAATTAAATATTGCCTGTGAGTTGAGCTGTTGCAAGCAAAGTTTGTCTTGACATGCATATATCTGTATCACACACACACATATTCTTAATAATTACTCGATCGTCTGTCTATTTTTATTTTATTTTATTTTATTTTATTATTGGTTTGTTGTAGGTGCGATTATTGGTGTTTATTATTCATAAAATTCCTGTTCACGGTTTCCTGGGGATTCTTCAATGTTACTTTGCTTCTTTCTTTAGGAACTAATCAATCTTTTGTGTTTATTATTAAGTCAATAACACAGCTCACCTCATCTCATCGTATATATATATCACTATAAAAATCACTACGTTTATAGAGAATCACCTAAAATGCTGCCAAGATAGGAACACGTTTCATACTTATCACAATCATAAGGAGGGAGTGCTCATTTTAATTTGAACAATCCCAATCAATTTTGAATGGTCCAAATTGAATTTAAATTTTTTTATATATTTTAATTAATTTTTATTTTTTCAGGAAATGATGGGAATAATAACAGAAAGAAGAAGCCTTGAAAATTGGTTGGAAGTTTGCCAATCAATAATTTTAAGATTTAGCTAGAAACAATTTTCTTAACAATTTTATATGTGTACACTGAAAGATAAGCGCCTATTACGAATCAAATGAGAAGGGCCTAATTTAAACAAAATAAACTAAAGGAACATAATTTAAAATCAAGACAAACTACAACTAACTATATGGGTTAGTTTTCCCAAATTTATTCATAATCATAGCCACATAAAAACGAACCAACATTCCATAAAGTTTATATATAATTCATAATTAACTTCATACTATACACAAACACTTGATCGATTATATATGATGAGGAGTGGGGACGAGGATGAGATTGTCTTTCTTTTTAATAGTTGAGCCCATGAGTTCAGTCATATCTAGGGTTTCTGGAGTGATCCCAGAGGGAAGTTCCCAATCAAAATAACACAACAAGTTGGCCAGAAGAATCTCTCCAATGGCAGGGCCATATAACATCCCAGGACAACCCCTTTTGCCAGCACCAAATGGAATATACTCAAAGTTCGATCCTCTGTAATCCACAGAACTGTTCATGAATCTTTCAGGAGCAAACTCTTCTGCAGAATATGAAGATGATGAAGAAGAAGAAGTCCAATAGTTAGGGTCTCTCTCAATGGCCCAAACATTCACAAACACTTGGGTTTTCTCTCGTATTGTGTGGCCATTGATCTCACAGGGCTGTGTGCATTCTCTTGGAGACAAAAGAGGGGCTGGAGGATGTAGCCTTAAAGTTTCTTTAATGACTGCTTTAAGATATTCCAGTTCTTCTACAACCGATTCATCAATATATCCTCTCTCGTTCCAGACTTGTCTCACTTCTTCTTGTGCTTTTTCCAGTACTCTTGGTTTTCTTACCATTTCTGCCATGGCCCATTCTACTAATCTGCTTGCTGGCTCGAATCCTGCTAGCACCACATCCTCTATATATATATATATATATATATATAGGCAGGTTAGAAGAATTTTTTGGCTTTCTTTGATATTGCACGTATGATGTGGAAGTCGGATTGGTGTGTATAGATATATAATAACGTGCGTTATGTGCAAGAGATTAATTAATTAAAGGGTTAATGTTTAATTTTGTCTCAGAAGCTAAGTTTCGGGGTATAGGCTATTGATATCTAGAACTCTTGTTTTTTTGGATCATTTTGACTTCTTAAGTGTCAAAAAAAAGGAACAAAATCACCTTAACAGTTAAAAAACTAATATTAATTGTTAATATTTTTAATGATGGGGACGATATTACTTATTTTTTAATAATTTCACTATATTGATTTCAAAAAAAAAATAGATATTCACTACTCCTGCGTCAAAACTTCCAGAGTAAAATTGGGCCATGATGCTTAATTAAATGATGATATGAAAAGGTTGTACCGTAACCGTAGGATAGGCTTGTTTGAACGTTGTCCATTGTCAAATCACCATGACGTTTCAAACTGAGAAGAGCAGAGTAAAGGTTCTTCTTCTCCCTCATCTCCGGCATCACCATCGGCGGCGGCGATGATGTTTTCCAGAAGCACGTCAATTCTCCGACGGAGCTCATCGTACTTCCGTCTGGCTCCCGTGAGCGCGCGAAGCCACTTCCGGGAAGGAAACAGGTGGGCGATGTCCGGTGACATGGAGACCACCGCCCCACAGACAAAGATCATTGCTTCTTGTTGTTGGCCATCATCATCGAGCTTATTCCGGCGGTGGAAGGCTGACCTTGAAACAATCCGACACGCCGTGTCAAAGATTTTCTCGGCGAGGTTTACAGGCGAACCAGCTTTTGCATATAAACATTTCACTAAACTTGATACTTCCTCTTCCCCTCAGTGATTGGAACGATCTTACACGTGCAGCATTTAACTGTTGGCAACAAATTAAAGACGCATACATTTTATTTGCAACATATTTATAAAATCAGTTTTCGCATTTTGTATTCTCTCTTGCATGTTAATGTTTGAAAACAAAATTAAAACTCATTAACTGTCTAAAAATTTTAATAAGTTTTCAACTTTATTCTTATTAAATATATATAATTTGAAAATTAAATACTATACACCAACATTTAATGAGAGGTAAAAGGAAAAACTAGTAATAAAAGATCAATAACACGTCTTATAATTAGCATAAAACTATTTTAAAAAAAAGACTCTAGCAGCACACATTTATGAGACATAGGCGCTACTTGATGTTAATTTTCTTTTTTTCCAAAACATCATGTATTAGGTGTAGCTCACAAGATGTAAATGGTACTCCTCCGATCCTTAATATAAGACCCATTTAACTAATTTGATTAGATTAAGGAAGTTAAATAAGTTAGTTAATTATAAGAAATATGACGTGTTTTTCCTAAAATACCATAATCATCTTTCTTAATACCCCCACTTCCTGACCTCTTCTACTTGATTATGGTTGAGAGAGTATCCATAGGAGTAATTTAGAGAAAATTGATAAATATGATAAATGGATCTTATATTTAGGATCAAAACTAACTTAACAATTGGTTTCTATATTAAGGACCGGAAGAGTACCTAACAGTGTACAAGTAGAAGCGTTTCAACAAAATGCTACCACTGTTTATTTTCTTTAAATTTTTTGTAGCATTTCTCAAAGCACTACCTAATTATAAGATAGCATCTTTTTACGCAGCGTTTCATAAATGCTACCTACTAAAAATTTTAAGCATTACCACTTCACTTTTTTGTAGTAGTGTTTATAAATAGAACTAAAGTATAGTACTTGATCTAATAACCTAAATAATTTGAAGAAAAGATTATCCATAGGTCCCAATCAAAAGATCTCCTGAGTTTCATTCAAATCTAGCTAATAGATGTTAAGAAATTTAGTATTTACATACAAGTCAAATTTTTATATATTCACATTCAATCGTGTTATTTACAAGTAAATTTATAAATTAATGTTTAGAAGTTGGACTTAGCTTTTATATTTACAAATCAAGTTGCATTATTGACAAGACAAACTTGTAAATCTTAAATCTCTTAGACCCTATTAATATTAAATGAAATATGACGTACCTATATATACATATAATTTTCTTACCAGACACTTAAGTGTAATTTTCTCTAATTTAAAACTTGATTATGTGCATGCTGATGATGATGAAAGGCAAGTTTAAATAATGTAATCTTTCAAGTGATTAGTCATGTCGCTTTATTTTTTTTGTTTTAAACTCTGACTATAACTTAGTTCTTAAATTAATTATTCAAGACACTAACTTAACTTATAGGCGAGTCAAAATTACATAGAATAAATAAATAATTTTCACAAAGAATTACCAGTCGTTGGGAGGTGATCTTTTTGATGAGCTTTCAGTAATCTCCGGTAGGGAAGAGGACTATGTTAGAGGGACCATCTAACAAAACATCAGAACCAGCAGCAAAAGCCCTTTGACCAAATATACGATCCTTCGTCTTCAGTACTTCTTTGGCAGCTTCTGCAGAAGAAACAACCACCGTTGAGATTTCTCCCAGTTGCAGCCACATCACCGGCCCGTGTTTCTCCGACAGTTCTCTCAGTCGCCGGTGGGGCAGGCAGCCGCCCAGGTGGTGGATGCTTCCTATCATCGGAAGCCTCCATGGCCCTGGCGGTAGCTTTGATTGGATGACGCTGCAGCTTCTGCTGAAGCTTCTTACCAATTTCAGACAAAATACGAGGAACAAGATCGAACTGAGAAGGAAGGCCGGCAAGGAGAAGAAGGTAATATCCATCGCCAAAAAACCCAGTGATTGATCAAAGACATGACACAGAGATATATATATATATATATATATATATATAAAATACAAATTCTTAATAATCACTCAATCAGGTTACTTCTATTTTGTTTTAGTTTCACGCTTTCCTGAAGAATAATCTTCAATATGTTGCTTCATTATATTCTTTTAATTATGAACTAATTAATCTTTTGGGTTTAGTAGTAATAACAAGTCAACAACACAGCTCTCACTACCTCCGGTCAATATCATCAATATCAATATAAAAATTATTAAATTTATAAAAAGTCACCACAAAAAAGAAGTACAACTCCATTAAACTATAAAAGCTTTAATTTAAAATTAGGTTTATTATTAAAACACTGCTCGCTCATGGAAAAAAAAAAACTCATATAATTCTTAAGACAATTTGAGCTTTTTAAAATTTTTCAATATATACATTTTATTTGCGTGCTTGAATATAACTTTGCCTAGAGATTTTTGAAGCTAAAGTTAAACATGTATATAGTAGCTGGTTGTTGTGATAAGAAGGAATAACTTTCATCAGTTTCCGTGTGATTAATTAGTGAGTACTGGATAGGGACTGATCAATTAATATTATAATCACCTGTGGCATATGTATGTATGTTCTTCAAATGCAATCAATCCGAAGATTATATTTCAGCTTCTTCGGCGGCCGAAAAGTTGACGAAATCAAAATTCACAAATTCTGGGTGATATGCAAAATCACTTTCTAATTAGGGCATTTATTTTTTTCTTGATAATTAATCTGCATATTGTGTGTGTATCAGATATATATGGAGTTATGGACTTGATTTTCTATTCGAATCACTAGTGGCATGCAAAAATGTTCTTTATTAAATCACGCCAATCAGAGGATTTTGACTTCTTCTGCTCCCTAATAATTTATACCAAAAGTCATATTTTTCAAGAAATGATGGGAATAAGAAAAGGAAAAAGAAGTATTGAAAATTTATTCATCAGGAGATTTTGAAAACCAATTTTAAGATTTAGAAATAATTTGTTTTGATAATTCATGTAATCTTTCAACATTGTAATTTTTGATTTGGGGATTTTTTTTGGAGTATAAATTCAGAGCATCCTAAGTTATTTTGGACTTGAAACTAATCTGTATTCAAACAGGACCATTAAGATTAAAAGTCTCACAACAAATGTATTTCTTGAGATTCAAACTCGTGTTCTCAAGTCAGGCCACTTACAATCTCAACCAACAGCTTATTAGTTGTCTTTTGGTGGTTTTATTAATTATTTTCGTCTTCCTTGTTTTGCACAGATGCAGAGTCACTTTCCTATTTTCATAATAACATGTTATATATATATTTATATTAATGCTAAGTTATAAGGAAAAGAAATGATACATTATGTTAAATTAATTAGGGATCAACTTTGGCAAAACAAAAAAACACTTTCCCAACAAAAGTTGGTTCAATTAGTATGAAGTTGGCTCATAATATCTGAGTATCATAAAATTGTGAGTTCAAATCTCATTATTTGTGAGAACTTTATTGACCAGCGATATACATTCACATGGGAGGGCTTCCTTAATTATTGGAATAACTTTATTTTATTAGCAGAAGTTAATGTAGCAACTCCGAATTAAATTTGAAAAGCTGGTTGTCAACAACTCAAATTGAAAGCAGTTGACATTTAATTAGTTATGCAAGTTACGCAAGTTTTTTATATAGAAAATATTTCTGTGATTATTATAAATATTTTATTCTTTAATTTTGTGATTTTTTTTTTAATTTTTTCCTTCCGTTATGTTCAATCCTGAAATTGGAGCACGATGGAATTTTCATCCCATAATGTCCGTCTCATTTTGGAGTTGATATTCTTTCCAGATTGGACAATAATCCTAATAAAAACACAGAGATCGAAAGAAAAAGATGAAAAATTAAGAATTAAGGAATTAACATCTATGACGGGATCTATAACTTAATTTCTAAATAATCAAGTACACTGTTTCACTTTTCAGTAAAATAAAAATTACTAAAATCTAAATATAAATACCTGACATTTTAAATAACAAAATAAAAGACTACAAAAAGATATATAGATGTAGATATATATATATATATATATATATATATAACGACTTTGTCTCTGTCTTCTCGTCATGTATCTGAATTTGTCTTGAGTTCGTTTGTGTCCTATCCCCACATGATCATAACGAGTATGGGTACGCTAGGACCCTGTTCTTTATGCACACCCCCATTCTTGAAATCAAATTCACATCAACTTGTGACATCATATAAAAATAAATAAATAAACAAATAAATATCCTAATCATATATATATATATATAGCCATGTAAAACTAATCAACTTCCCAAGCTCTCCCAGTTTATTCAGTTATGTACACATGGGATTACCATGAGGAGTAGGAACTAGAATGAGACTAGTTTTCTTCTTCAAGGTTGAATCCAAAAGTTCAGTCATGTCTAGGGTTTCTGGAGTAGTCCCAGAGGGCAGTTGCCAATCAAAATAACACAACAAGTTTGCTAAAAGAATCTCTGCAATGGCAGGACCAAACAACATCCCAGGACACACCCTCTTGCCTGCACCAAACGATATGAACTCAAAGTTGGATCCTCTGTAATCCACAGAACTATCCATGAATCTTTCAGGAACAAACTCTTCTTCTTCTGCAGAGGATGATGAAGATGAAAATGATGAGCTCCAATACTTAGGATCTCTTGTAATGGCCCAAATATTCACAAGCACTTGGGTTCTCTTTGGAATCGTGTACCCATTGATCTCACAAGTCTCCATGCATTCTCTTGGAGCCAGGAAAGGAGAAGGAGGGTGTAGTCTTAAAGTTTCTTTGAAGACAGCTTTAACATATTTCATTTCCTCTAACGTTGTTTCATTGATGTGTCCTTTCATCCTCAGAACTTGTCTCACTTCTTCTTGTGCTCTTCTCAGTGTTGCTGGTTTTCTCACCATTTCTGCCATAGCCCATTCTACTATCCTAAACGCTGGCTCAAATGCTGCCATTATCACATCCTGTAAATTAAAATACACATATGGTGTGATGAGCTTGTCGGAAAATGCCAGTGAATTTTTTTTATTTAAAATGCAAAATCCAGAAACACACTTTTATTCGATTAGGTATACCAATAATGGTCAAAAGAAAGGTACTTGGCACTAACCAACATGGCGGCTTTAACGTTGTCCGTTGTCAAATCACCTTGACGTTTCAAATTCAAAAGACCAGAGAGCAAACATTCTTCTTCGTCTTCTTCTCCGGCTGCATCATCACCGACATGGTGATCGGCGATGATGTTTTCCAGAACCTGGTCAATTTTCCGATGAAGCTCCAGATACCTACGCCTCACTCCGGTGACCGCCGGAAGCCACTTGTGAGAAGGAAACAGATCGCAGATACCATGTGGTGACTTGAGAATCATATTGCAGACCAAGATAATGGGTTCTACTTGGCCCTTATGCTTCTCTCCAAAAGCTGACCTTGTAGCAATCCGACATGCCGTAGCACAAATCTTCTCAGTGAGGTTCACTTCAGAGCCGGCTTCTGCAGATAAACATTTCATCAAACTCTCCACTTCTTCTTCCCTAACTGATCGGAAAGATCTTACTCGCGCGGCATTTAACTGTAATTATAAGAACAACACTGAATCATGTAATTGTAAGCAAGTATAGTTTCACATATTGGATGGGCATGGGTGGTATTAAAGAAAATTAAATTTAGCTATGTAGATTAATTATATATATATACATACATTATTCTCTTAATTAAAATAAGGCCTTATTTTGGTTCATACTCATATTATTTGTGCTCACTCGCATAATCATGTCTTGCATATCTTAATTATTTGTGGGTAACTTGATTTTAAAAAAACGATGAGATTATAAATGATATTGATTTCATTTGTCTTCAACTACCTACTCTTTATTCTTTAATTTCAAAAAATTTAGATCCATACGTGTTCGCGTGATGAAGCAGTGAAGTAATAGATAAAAATAATTTTTTTTTTTAAAAAAATCTATCGATTTTCTATATGTATATATATGTACCTCAGTTCTCATATATCCTTTTTGTCTTTCTTCCATCACAAGTAATTCACGATCCTTTAATTTTAGGCAAGGGTCAAAATGTATATTCATTCATGCCAGGAAGGGAAATAGAAAACATGTGCGAAGAAACTAGAATCCTGAAAAGTCTCTCAGAAAATTCTGTTTCTTCTTTCCTTTGAAGTTTTAAATTGATCTTGTAAGAGTTCTTGATTAATTACATTCTCCCAATGATCTAAACGCACTTTTTTTTTTAATATAAGTATCCCATATTCAATATTACTCTGGGTTAATTAGATTTAAACAAGGGCTAAACATGTACGACACAAGATTTGAATTCTAAACCTTTTAGCCAAAAGAGAACCCAGCCTGTTTCCGATTCATAACGAGCAATTCAATTCAAGAAAAAGAATAAAATTCATCAAATTAATGATTGGAACCTGGGAAGTTAATTACCAAATGATGAGAGAAAATCTTTCTGAGGAGCTTCCAGTGATCTCCAGTAGGGGACAAGACGATATTAGAAGGACCATAAAACACGATATCAGAACCAGCAAGATAAGGCCTTTGACCAAATATATGATCCTTTGTCTTCAAAACTTCCTTAGCAACTTCTGCAGATGAAACCACCACCGTTGAGATTCCCCCCAGCTGAAGATGCATCAACGGCCCATATTTCTCCGACAGCTCCCTCAATCGCCGGTGGAGGTGTTGGGAGCCACCCAGGTGGTGGACGCTTCCCATAATCGGAATCCTCCACGGCCCCGGTGGCAGCTTTTTCTCTCCGCCGCTTCTGAGACTTCTCAATATCAGTTCCCGTAAAGTTATGAGGAGCAAGATAGAACAGAGAAGAAAGGGCAAGTTGACGAACTGGAGATCCATCTCTAAAATTCAGATTGAATATGGATCACCATACATGACATAAATATATATACACGCACACAAAATCACATATGTATATGCATATATATGCGTATTTATGTCTTTTTCTTCTATTTTTGTTTCCGTGTTGTTGTTTTAATTGAATTATTATTATTCACATAATTCCTATATTAGGCGGCCTAGCTGGAGAACCTTCTATTTGCGTCTTTATGTTGTATGAACAACTAATCTTTTGGATTTAGTCTCACATTCTCTAATTGGGTAAGAAACTAAGAATGAAACTATATACAGAAAATTATATTTAAAGATCTAAATTTGATCCACACCTTGCAATGAATAATATTAGAAATTCACATTATAATAAGGGATCTTGATGTTGTTTAGCTTTTTATGTGCATGTTGGTTTTAGTTTTCTTACTAGTTTATTATCCAACTCTCAACATTAAAAACTACAATGAACTCCATTACGTTATTAAAACTTTCGAATCATTACCATTAAATTGTAGGTTTAATATTAAAAAATCGTTCACTTATGAATATCAAAAATCATATTTTTTAATAATAATAATGATGATGATGATGATGATGATGATCTAAGCTTGTAATATTCTTTACTATAAAATTTTTGATATTTGTGTGCTTGAATGTAATTTTCTCTCGATATATTAATTAATTTTCACCTAGTATATGATTTTTATGTTTTGCTTTTTAAATTTTCAAGGTCGAAGTTAAATTTAAAAATATGTACATATATATGGTTGTTGGGATGAGGTTTTCTTGGTGATTAGCTTGGACAAGGACTTAATTACTATTTTAAACACTAGTGGCATCCAAATTTTGTCTTTAAATATCGAATCAATCCTTGGATTTCAACTTCCTTTGTTGTCATCAAAATTGATCAAAAGCCATATTTTTCAAGTGATAATTACGACATTTATTACTCCTCCGGTTCTAAATATAAGATCTTTTTTGTAGTGTAATTTACATTACAAAAAAATTTTTATATTTAGGACTGGAGGAGTATTATTTTATAAACTAGTACTAATTAAGTTGTAAGGAAAATAAACGATTGATCTCACATTGAGGGACCAAAGTTATTAAGGTCAATATATAAACTAATATCAAACTGCCAAATGAGTTGGATCGAATTTTTTTTTTCCATGTGAGTTCGACATTTAGAGAAAAAAGAGTTGACATTATTTTTAAATAAGTTTCATATATATATATTTTTTTCCTCCTCCCATACTAGCTATACAACCTTTAAAATTTTTGTTACAAGTTTTATATGTATAATTAATTAGTTAACTTCCTATAAAATTTATATTTATGTTGCTAATTTTTTAGCTGGATGTTTTATGATGATATTGATGATGCAATCTTGAACAAGACTAATAACTTTTGATTGGATACATTAGTACAGAAAAAGATGGAGGGAATTAAGCGGGGAAACAAAAGATCACAAATAGAAGGTCCTTTTTGACCGACGTAGTCCGTTGACTTGGCGAAAAAGTCAAGGTGCCAATTAGAGAAAAACAAATAATGTGATTAATTTATAATTGACCCACATGGAATGGAAGGGCTTGCTTAATTATTTGAATAATTTAATTAATTAGCAAAATGTTAATTACATGTACAGCTTCGAAAGTCTGAAGAGCAGGTTGTCAACAACTCAAATTTGAAAGCAGCCAACATTTTCAAAAAGTTGCAAGTTACGCAAGTCTTCCTACTGAAAAGATTTCTCTCATTATTTTACTTATTATACTACTATTTTTTGTTGTGATTTCATTTATTTTTCCTTTCCATTTTCATATATATGAAATTTAACCTGTCAAACATTATGTGCTAGCATAGATTTGAATATTATCGGGTTTAAATCAGGAGAAGCTCTTTTAAAAATATTTTTTTTTCCAGTCATATAAATTTAAACTCCAAATCTTGTGTTTAGACTGCCATAATTCTTTTCATTAGGATTTTGGGCTTTGTTCATAAATTATCAACTTATCATTATCATTAATTATAATACTCCAAATAAATAAATATTTTTTTTTCATT